GCCGGCCGCCTCGCGCCTGCCCTGCCGCCGGCTGCGCGACGCGGCTCGCAGAAGGAACCGTGATTTTGCAGATGGGAACAAATAAAAAGCGTGGCGCTCTGTTAGCGCTGCGGGACAGGTATCCCGGCTGCTTGCAGCCGCTGCATCCCCGCTCCCTTCCGTCCTGCTCCCGGAGGAGTTACGACACTGCAGGGAAAAGGGGGGGGAAAAAAGGTGAAAGCCTTCAGTGTTCAACTTACCAAACTTGCGTCAAGTCTCGGCTCAAACCAAGGTTAAACAGGCCTGCTCGGAGCCTCCTAAAGGCAGGATTTATACAGTAATTACAGTAATGGAAACTGATCTTTATAATTTTCACCCTGACTAGAATTCTGCTGTGTCATATACATCTGCAGAGGTTGAGAGCTGCGCAGCGCCGTGAGCGCAGCCGACCAGACGTATAGGGAGAATTACCAGGGCAGGAACATGCCCAAGCTACAGCGAACTGCAAAGAGCAGGAATTGTGAATCCTGGGGGAAGCAGACAGCGTGTGTAAGACAAGCAGCAGCGGGTCTGAGCTCCTGCATTTTGCCGGGAGTTTGTGCAGCCAGGTCTCCACCGCAGACGGCGTTTAGACCGCCCCGTTTTCGTTATCACGTCTCCTCTCTTTTTCTTCGCTCTGGTCTGAGGGCCAGGGAGGGCCCACGGTGCAAATCGCACCTCGGCCAGGCGGGATCTCCTCACCCGCTGCCCAGTTGCCTGTTCCGCAGGGGAAACCCGGGAGGGCCGAGGAGCAACTTCGGAAGATGGGAGACGAGATAGGGGGTTTGGCTCCACCTTCAGGAAGCGGGAGGCCAAGGGAAGCGCGGCCCGAGCCGTGAGGCGCCTTCTGCACAGCCCAGGGCTTGCGACCTCCCGAAAACACAGTGCTTCCTCCCAGCGCATCTTTCCTTCATGCAGTCAAAAAAACGAAGGTTCCCTGAGCTGTTGTCGTGACATTTCTGCGGATTACTTGATCCAGCTCTGCCGTCTAACTGCTCCCGGAGAGCTTACGAACATGTGGAACAAAGTCCACAAGTAGCCGATATACAGACAGAGCTGATACACGAACAAAAGTCAAAGAAAAGCAGCTTTGAGGGGAAAAAAGTTGCCACACACAGGATGTTGTGGAACTGGAAGGAATATTATAAAAGTTATTTACACTTTGGATGCTCCCATTTCCATAGGGAATACAATTTTCTTGTATAATTCATGCAGTTTAGAAAGGCTCCCTGAGTAGCATGGATGGGCCGAGGGGAAGAGCCTTGATGAGGGGCCAGTGTAGCAAAGCTCTGAGGCACAGGCCTAAAGTTAAGCCCTCCTTCCTCCCCTGATCTGGGCAGGAATTGCAGGAGAGGCAAGCAGACAATTTACCTGAATTTCACCGTCAGACTTGGCTGCAGGTTGAGAAAGTGCCCGGAACATAACAGCTGCTTAAAAGTATGGTTTAAATGAATTAAAATGATGCGTTCTTTAAAAGAAGCCATATAAGGATCATTTATAATAATGAAAATGCCAAGGTATGGGGAGATGAGACTACACTGAGTTTGAAGGACTATATGATGTATTAGTGAAATCATAGGCAATCGCACAATTAGCAACGGTCCTACAAGGCAAGGTAAATGCACAGCCGCTGGCAAAATCTTGCCTTTGGCATTGCCCCGGTTGGGTGTTTAAGGACCTGACATTACTGTTTTCAGCATCATTTTCTGGAGAATACAGGTTTGAAGCCTGCAGTGGAAGCAACAGGAATGGCTGTTGATGCAGCAATGGACTGAACACCTAATGAATCCAAAAATATAGAAAAAAACACTGCGAAGAGATGCGAGAAGACTGAATAGACAGAGCTGCATAAGCAAATACAACTGAATATACTCCTGAGGGACAAAGGAAACAACTCGTGATGGGGTGACAACAGATGTTCTCCAAAAAATTTCTAATGGAGCGTTTCAAACACAAAGACCTTCCTGTGGAGCTGAGTTTTCCTGGTAGGCGCACAGCGATGTGTCTTTGGAAACATAATGAAACCCGCTAAGGAAACCCGGCGTTTGAGGTGTTCTGAGCAGGTTCCCAAAGCAGAAGTGGCATCTTCGTGCATTAAGTGGTGAGTGGTAAAGAGGGATACAAGAGACCAAACCTTTGTCGCCAGAAGTTGCAGCGTTGTTAAGCTTTAATTTGTGGGAGGAACAGCTAGGCAGAGAACTGGCATTCTAAAACATCTCTAAACTCACTCCTCTTGAAAACGTGCTTAGCACTCAGTGAAGATATACAGGTTGACCTGATCAACCGAGCACAATTCAGAGCATTTTATTAATCCTGTGGGCAGCCCTGGGCAGAGCCACTCTGCGCTGTGTGAATGCGGAGTGCCCAAGGCCGATGCTTGCTCGAGCTCCTGTGCTTTCGCATCACGGTTACGCACACCGCCAAAAATCCTGAAACGGAGTCACAAAAGGAGACAGGTTTATGGAGTCCTGGTTTTGCAGAGACTGAACTGCACTAGTACTCAGGGAAGATTTGGATTTAATTCCTGGCTTGGATCTGCAGCATCTTCAGTGAGCAGCTTTACACTGGTTTTTAAAGGCTCAGCGCTTCAAATGCTTTTTTTAAACCCTGGCCTTTACTCTTCATTTTCTGCTTTACAGACAGAGAGTAATACTTCCTTAGCTTGCTGCAATGCTGAACAGATTCCTGAGTATCTGCAAAGCAAGCAAATATCGTTTTATTTGGGAATAAGGCAGGAGGGTGGCACAGTACATTTTTTGATTAATTTTATTGCTTTGCAACTGTTTCGGGGAAAAAGCTACAGCCTAGAGAAACGAGCACTGCAGTGCAGTGGGAGCACTCAGAACTGCAGGAACAGGATGGGCAACTCCAGGTGAGGGGTAAAGCGGGCAGCAACACCGAACACCACCATAGAATAGCCATTCTGATAAATATTACAGTAGCCACTTTATAATTAACACAGTGGGACAGCTTTACATCTTGCAATGTGCGGTGCGAAAAGTCGAGAGTTATTAGCGCAAGATTGGAGGATTGAGTGGAATAAAGGAACAGAAATTAAAATTCACAAAGACTTAAAACATCTTTCTGTGTGGTCACCTCTTGCTTCATTATCACCAGTATGAAAAGCACAGTGCAGACCTGCCATGAACACACTGGAGTAACAAGCTGATCAGGATGGAAGAATCCCACATCACCTTTTACTTCCCAGGGTCGTTAACATGAAGGAGGGAAATGCATTTGTTTCTACAGAAACACTAACTTAACTTGTAATCACAAATCTTTCTTTCTGCTGACAATTTTGTTTTTAGGAGAAACCAACTACCTGATGGACCTCATAACTAAATATATTTTCATCTGACTCATACAAACAGCTCCTGTTTCCCTCTACAGATAACGAAGCCGTGGACTGCTGAAGCCCGTGAGTTAAGCCCTCTGCTACTTGTACATATAAAGATGTATTTTAGAATGAAATCTTGTGTGAAAGAGTTGCCCAAGGCGTTTTTGTTCATTACAAACTCCATAATATCTTCCTCTTTCCATAGCTCTATTACCAATGTCAGAGTTAAAAAACAAAGGCAGACAAGTCACAGGACGATATTAATCATGGAATTTTATTTGGTTCAACATTTCTGTCCATTTCCCTGTCTCTTTCGGAAAGTGCATATTTCAGGAACAAAACTGACATGCACAAAGAGCATTCAATGAAAGAGAAAAAAAAAAGGAGATGCAACAAATAATGCAGCAAGTGAAGGACGCTAACAGAGCGTTCTTGTCTCTCTGAACCCACATGGAAAATGCACGTTAGCCAGAACTCCAAAACCACGTCTGCAGTGAACGGCAGCAGCACTGTCATGCACAAGATACTCCTGGTTCATTCTCGTGATGAGAAATACTCAGGTTCTACTTATTTGGATAAAAACAAGATTGCTTTGCAAAGCTTTATGTGCACTGGTCTTAACGTAGGTTTAAAAGAGACTAAAGAGCATAAATTGCACTTAAAAACAATTTAGGAATCTGGTTTATGTAATTTCCTTAAAAGTACTGGTTGCAGACACATTAATAACATTTGAAAGTTTCTAAACTTTCAAAGGATCTAAAACAACCACCTTCTGCCCCAAGATTATTTTTTAAAAAATCTGTGCTATTAACATGAATTTTGCATTCAGTTGCTACAGATTTTCATATGAAGGTCAAGGGAATGCTTAGAATTGGTCACATATTAGCAAGATTCTGTTGAAACTTCTTCTGTCTCTGTGTGATATATATAATGTATTTAAAGAAAAATTTAGGTAAACCTTGGCTGTCCTAAAGAATTTGGTCAAACAGCTCTGAAGGACACAATTTATTCCACTGGAACACAATTCATTTATCAACAGGGACACACTTGAAAGAAGGCCCTTTCAGGGGCTTTATCAAAGCAAAGAATTCACATTTCTGACATTCTCTATCTGCAAAACAGACACAAATATATATTCAGAAAAAGACGACATATTTTTCACTAAGGATTATTGTAAGGGGTGGAAAAATCAAAATAAGCAAAACAATTATGACCTATTCTAACCTCAGTGCTCTCCACCATCTACCTTCCTTCTTGAGATGCATCACATGTGGTTAGGTTTTTTCTTACCCATACTCCTGCTGCAGAGCAAGAATGATCAAATATTGCAACCTTACCAAAACTGTTCTTTAACCTTAGCAGAACAAACATCTTCAAAACAATGGAACTTCATAGGAATTCATAGTGAAATTTCAACCCAAGATTTAGGGCCATTTGAACTTCAACTAGCATGAGAGAAAGAAAAGCAATTTCGGTGTTTTAGAGTTTTTAAGTTAAATTCCAAACTGACAAAAAGAGTTCTGAAAACGGATCCCAAGTGTAATTCTGGCCCTCCTAACATCCATGTCTCATCAATTTCAGAGGACTAAATATCAGCAAATAATCTTCTGAATCATATTGAGATGCCAAATATCAGCAGTGCAAATTACAACTGTCTGCATACCTCACAAATGATACCACTTAGCAGCAAACTATGTGCTCACAGAAATAGAGCAGTCACAAAGACACTTGGCACCTTTGAGGTAAATTCATTCTCTTGATGAATTTTCGTATTTTATCATCTTCGTTCAATGTACAACATTTAATACACCGTTCTGATGAAGTGTGATTAATTAGTCATCAGTTGTGTATCATCAGTGGACGACTGGATCCATCTGTAAAATCAGAATGCACCTGTGTATACGTGACACTTACTGCCAGGGTTAAGGATATGTCTGCATTTTTCTGAATGTTGCATTGGTAATAGTGAGTCTTGTAAGCCTTGCTCCATAGTAATCTATAATATAACTAGAGCCATCAGAAGGTCCAACAATCTGCAAGAGAAAAAGAACCAAGCCTTTTCAATATGAAGTGAAATATACACTTTGTGCTAACATCTCAATTACTGCTAATTTTCCCTTCATAAAATTAGTCATGCTTAATTAGTCAAACAGAAACTAGATTTATTTTGAAGTTATGCTGCAGTTTAACTATTTTAGCGAACACTGTCTCTCAAGGAACATCTCCCTTGGGCTCTAATCAACCAAATTACACAGCCAGGCTCTGGCGCTAAGTTAAATCGACAGGGATTTGAGTCACAGAATCAGGCTAACGAATGAGGGGCCTCCAAAGAGCTTTTCTTGAACAAAGGAGGCCAGGCAAAAGTGAATTAAGCTGTGGTAAGTATCTTGGAAAGGGTGCACAGGTAAGGAACAAGAACAAAGAGAGAAGACTGTGGCTTTTTTGTTCTGGGACTGATAAATTGATGTAGGGTCAAAAGGCAGATGAGTACAGAGAGATGAAAGCTACCCACAAGTTGGTCTGCGAGTGATATGAGCTAAGGTCATTGCCATAGTATAGAACAGAATTTGAGAGTACGTACACTTGGAGAGATTAGTGATACACAAAAGGCTGATTTACAAGAAACATAATTCTTATTTTTTAATAAACACAAAGAATTCCTATGCTCACAATGTGCTTTAAGTTTGACAAAGGCAATTTGTAACCCAGGCTAAATGGATGCACCCCAGAATAAGACAACGTGGCAATGTCATGACATCACAAGGTGTCACCCCACATAAGGACTGACCCACTAAGCGTCCCACAGTTACAGGTGAAATGAGACTGCTATGTGGAAGAGAAGCAGAAAAAAAAAGTGGCAAAGTCTCCTTTCCTGCACGCTGTTTGCACGCCCCAGGCGACTGGCTCCATCATTAATTAAACACATGCAAGCACAGAACTTCACAGGCAGGTCTTGTTTCAGGAATACCAGGACATCTCATGTAATTCTAACTGTGTGTGTCACATAAAAAGCTCATCAGTTCTGACACAATGAATTTACAGTGGTTTAGCTTCCAGGCTGTATTCAAGTGGTAGATTCATTACAGGTATTTAGAGAGAGCTCATCTAGCTGAATTTTAATTCAAGCTATAAATATATTCATATTTTGTATCCATAATATCAGTTTATGCTAAAGTAAATGCTTTGATTTTGCAATATTGCAGAGGAAAGGTTCTTAAGGCTGAAATGCTTACAAAGACTTAGGGATCAAATCAAAGCTTTAACAAACACAAACAGATTGTATCTTGTTTTGAAAGCACCATATTACCTGCATTGAGATGAGTATGAAATCAATTAGGCTACCAATTCCACAGAATCCTACAGTGCAGAACTTGAGCAAACCTAGGAAAAGGAATCAAAATTTAATTGCATCTTTAAGCTAGTTACTATAGATTCATATGTTTCTGATGGCAATCACATCCAAATTCTCCCATCCCACAGAATAGACACTTCCAAAAACAGAAACCAAATTAAAGATCTTTAACTACCAGAAAAAAAAAACATGAATATTCACATTTCTGTACTACCCTGAGGACACTTTAAGGATTTTAAACATAACTTTTTCTAAACAGACAAAAATTCATTGAAGGAAAGGCAGAAATTGAGGACTGAGTTACTGAAAATTTTCCTTTCTTTGATTACAGACACAACTGAACTAGAAAATTTACTTTTCCATATATATAACATATACATACCTACTTTATATATGGATATAGATACACAGACACACACATATATGCACATACATAAAACAAACATGGTTACTTCTGAATAGTGAGTAATCAGGGATTTGTTTGTATGAATAAATGAAAGGTGAATAGGCATAGTGAATAGACATAGTGATTAACTTTCTCACACTGGGAGCTCTCCATGAAAGGCTGACCTTGCATTCGGGATACGTCTTCAGAAAAAAAAAAAAGACTAAGAATTTTCCTTAAAATGTCAGCAGCTTCCCATGCAAGGAAAGTAACACAATGAGTACTATATTTATTGTAAGACAATACTTCGGTTTCAGCTAGACAAACATCTAGGCTATTTTGAGAATGAAATGCTCATTCTGAAGACACTCGCAACGTTACCCTGGAACAGAAAGCTTGAAGAGGTCAGCACGGATTGTGCAGCTCGGCCGTACAGGGTTTGGGGAAGGGCCCTTGTTAGGCTCACGGGGCTGGCAGACCGCGACGTGGGAGAGGCCCCGCGCTGGCTCTTCCCGATGGGAGCGGGGCCGGCTCCAAGCTGTGCTCTTCTAGGGTAAAAGCAGACGCTTTCCTGAGCGATTCTGCTTGCAGAAAAAGAGGAGGAGGAGGTCTGGAGACCTTCAGGTGCTTGACGCACTGACCTGAAGGTCTCCAGACCTCCTCCTCCTCTTTTTCACTCGCCCTCTCTCAGGAGCACCTATCTGTCCAGCTGATCTCCTCCTCTCCCCTTGTGCCCTGTCTCTGGCTGAATACGGAGGATGCTTGAGCAGAGTGGGGGGTAACTGCTTGCACGCCGGAGGAAGAGCATCCCGCCACCTGGGAATAGCTCCCATGCTGGAACGATGAAACTAGCCGAGGTTACAAACCTCCAGGAGGGATTTATAATCACTCTATGGAACAGGAGCAGTCAGAGAAAACAAAACCTAACGGAAAAAATATACCTAGTGACCATGAGGATGAAAGAGTAGTAGCAGGACATTCTTTCAGCTGATTAAAAGGAAAGTGCACAAACATTGCATTTAAGTGGTGCCACTTAAATCTGCAAAAAAGACCTAAGTCTATCAGTGTTTAAAACAATTTGCTCCCAGTGGCTGACATGTGAGACTTGCAGCAAACGCAGTCAGCCTGGATATCCGTATTGATAACTGCATAAAAATAAAACTAAAGAGAAACAACCAGCTACAGAAATGCTAGCCTTAGGAAACAGCAGTTAAGACAACTAAATAATACCACATTTTGGGTGAATATAATTCACTTCTTTGTTATCTCTGCATCAAGTGTAGTCACCATTTAAAATGTTGCTAACACTTATTGTAACGTCCCCTCTCAGGCCCCAGTCCTGATCCTCACTGTCTGTTGGATAGTTGGGAATCCAGCCACTCTCTCAATGGAATCATTGCTGGTTCCAGCAGCAATTCCAATTAACATGAGGAACAGGCTGCATCCTGGTGAGGCATCTTCCATGAGCTTACTGGGTGCAGAAGAACTGCTCCTGAACCTGGCATGGGTTTCTGGAGTGTAGGGTAAAGTCGGACTTTTGCCTTCCTCCTTGCTTCCCTTCCCATAAACAGATTACTCGAAGAAAATGAGCTGCTCTGAAGCACACAGGAAAAAATAGCAGTCCTAGGCAGCAAAAACTTATGGTTTACTTCACAGTGTGGGGGAGAGGAAGGGGTTGCCTTCCATTCAGTTTTACTATTTTACTGGTTTCTTCATATTCAATAGCTGGTTTGTTAGTTGTTGTGCTCCCTCATAAGCACGAGGGAAAAAAAAAAGAGCATTTGAAGTTTTCATTAGATTTGCATAAAATATTTCAATGCTGTTGCTTTTCTTTAGCAGAACTTTTGCCAAGACTGAAAAATTAACCACTGGCAAGAAATCCAATTTCTTGATTTTATCTTTCTGCATTTCTACACTTATGTATTTGCCCTTTTTTTTTCTTTACCTTCCAAAGGCTTGAAAAATTGCCATCAGAAGAGTTTAATTGTAAGAGTTTTAGCTTAGGTTACTGGGTTCAGTATATTCCAGTAGGGATGGCAAGAATGCAACATACAGGGCTACTATATAGGGATACGGGATTCACAAGTCTGTAATATATTACAATATAATTGCTGCAAATTATTATTGCAAAACCCATACTATAATACATTTTCAGCCACTGATGTAACAAAAAAAAGTGTACCTTATTAACTGCTTCAAAAAACATATATTTTTATGAAACAGATGGATAAAGTAAGTATTAATATAGAATCTGAGGGAAAGACACATATGTTAACACATGATGAGCCAGAAGAACAGATACTATTCTTAAAGAACCCAAGAGTTTGCATATAATGGGCAGCAACTCAAAACTCCCAACAGAGTGACAGTTAGCATAGGATTTTTTTCCAATATTTTGCTCCATGCCATCTAGACTTAGAAGTACTTCCATTTATCTGGCTCAGGAATAAACAAAGATCATAGACACTGAAAGTAGTTCTATGATGCTTAGGTATTCTATAATTTAAAAGCCAGTGGCACCATCAGTTCCTAAAAAACACTACCAGAGTTGTTCCTGCTAAAGGCTTCTGCAGAACTGTTACTAATACCACGAGCTATCTCAAATGTATGCATTTTTAAGAATAAATTCTGTGTGCCAAAACACTAATTTTATTGTAAAGTTTGTCCACTATTTCCCTGGTAGAATCAAGCATCATTTAACTAACTGGCCCATCAGCCGAAACCATTTCTGTTCAGAGCATCACAGAGAATGCAGTGGTAAATGTCAATGTAAAGCAAAACTATGAATGGCAATAATCAAACTAGGAATGGCAGTAATATTTAGAAAGGTTTTATCTGATGGAGAACTATGTATCCATTTATCAGCACTTATTCCAACAGGTGGATTTTATTTCATGTCCATTTTAAGCGGCAAAAATGGAGCAGAAGGCATACATAGCAGAAGCACAGCCTACAGGATTTTATTTCACAGGAAAGCAAGGATTCTAGTTGCAAGTATGAAAACTATGGCAGTTAAAGATAATTACTGAAAATATAAGTATATGCATACAATTCAATTAAACAACAATCTTTAGCTCAGAGAAAAAGAAAGATAAACTCACCTAAGGCAGGATAGCCTAGATAAAATCTATCTGCTCCCAGCCATCCAAGAAACAAAGAGAGAGCCACTGCCACTTTGTAGGAGTATCCATTTCTGCCAAAACATACACATAATGTAGACAATGACTGCAGAAATACATTCACTTATAAGCATATTTTTCAAATTTAAAGGAAATGACTCATTTTTCTGCTGTTTCAGTTTACAAAAAAAAAAAAAAAAAAAGAAAGAAAAAAAGAGGCCAGAAATCCTCAGATTCAATCAATGGTCACAGAATTGATAATGTTCACTTTCAATCTTCCATGAAGCAACCTCGGTCGCTGCAGCTCCAGGGTGCTGCAACTCAGGTCTACGCTTTCAAAACACAGGTTCTTATCCTATCGTAAGACATGAACTAGCTGAAGAAGCTGCAGAAAGTGTTCAGCCAAAAGGGGTAGGTGACAAAACTATCCATTTATACCTGTTGATCTTTAATATGTGAATTTATTTAACGCATGAACTGTTGACCACACAAAGATGTATTGTGGTAGAGGAACCCTAAAGTTAAGCACTCTGTGGTTAGGTATGCAAAATACACAGATACAAGCAGCAGCAGCAGAATCCTCAGATTTTCTGAGATTTACACTCATCATCACCATTCTTGCCAACACTGGAGTGAGGTGGACACTTCACCACCAGTAATTTTCAGCCTCTGCTGACGTGAACTTTATGCTAATAAGCAAGCTAGAAACACACAGCTATTAATCCTAGAACTATCCTCTGCTGCGCTGGGGAACAGCCACCCTTTGAAAGGAAAAGCAAACACAAATGTAATTAGAACCTTAAAAATATTCAATAATTCACTGTTTTGATACGTGCATTACCATGTGCCAGCAACTACTTAATAAGCCCAAATTAAACTCTTGGTTAACAGCTGAATGAAACATACAGTTTCACAAAGACAGTAGCTGAGAAAATCCTACCACCTTTATTAAGTGCTTTTAATGCCAAATAAAGATCTACATTTTTGCTTATTATCTAGATTTATTAACTTTAAAACTTAATGGCAATATTAGGTGATTAAACCATGACTCTTACCTCAGTATTTGTTACTTGGTGCTTATTAGCAACACAGAACATAGTGGGCCTTCCTGGAACCTAATGTGATGTAAATTACCATGTTTAGAAATATCCTGTTTCCACTGCAAAGAACACTAATGGTTTTATTTAAAAATTATTTATCAACTGTCAAGTGTCAACAATCATCCAAGGACACTAAAGCATAAAAACAGTCTTTATGTAAAAGTAGGAACACAATTTAATTTGAGGTATTTCTGATCAAACACAGTAATAAACGAAACTGAGCACCTGCCTATGCATTGGGACATTTTTTAAACAAAAATCGACCTAGTCAACATGAAACTGAAGAAATCTCATATGAAGTGGAAGCATCTTCATTCTGTATGAAGTCTGCATACACTCCTGTTTCTCCTTTATCTTACTCATTCTCTTAGCTAAAAATAAACCCTAAAGACTAACAGAGCAAGTAGAGAAATAACACTTTCTGGTCTAAATCTAAAGAAATTTCTACAGTTGGATAAAAGATATAATTTTCTTTCAGGTATTCCTCTGAATTGTTCTTCTGTTTGTGTTTCCTAGTACCACCCGATCTTTACTTTTTTTTCTGCATGCATTTCACCCAGTTAAAACATTATAAATGTTTTTTTTTTTCCTGCTCTCCATGCCAGTGGATATTCTGCAAGAATTGCTGTAGGTCACACTGGATTCTGTGCTCTTTTGGGGCCTCTTATCAACACTTAAAGACCTGTTCACACTGAACCTCATATATTTTACAGACTATCATTTTATAGACTGTTTGCTTGGAATGAGAAGACTTGAATGATGGATGCATTCCAGTCTGCAAAATCAAGTCCATATTAAGCAGAATACAGAGCCAATTTAGGGAGCTCTAGAATTTAGTAAAAATCTACCACCAAAAATCAAATTAAAACCAAACCAAACCAAAGCAAACGTAACTCTCATTTCAGCAAAAGCTGGAGCAAACTTCTTAGAACTTACAAACTTTTCCTGGAACAACACTAGGAGCAACTGTCTTCAATATGTTAAAAAAATTAAACATATATTCAACTTAGAGTGCTAGTCTTGTACCGAGAACTAGCAGTATCCAACTTTCTGGATTCCAGAACTGTAATCTGGACTGCTGATATAGCACGGTTTGAATATGGAAAACTTGCTGATTTGCCCCTCGCTACAAGTGGGAATCTACATAAACCTACAGCCCTCTGAGCACAGTCCTGCTGCAGAAAGATGCCTTCTCAAACCAATTTCCTGATTCCAGCTATGTGTAGCTGTTTCTTCCCGAAGATGGTCACAATTTCCAAAAAAAGGCTCAAACAAGACACTCCAAAAGGCAGGAGAAAGAGCAAGATTATTGTTGAAACAAAAAGCTAGAGATTCCTGCTTGAAATAATGGTTCTACAATTTAGCTAATATTTAAAATGCCTTATAAAAAAGGCTGATTAGACTACTTTTAAAGAAACATATATATGCAATATTAATCCTTCTGCTCTTTTTACTTGGCTTTGGGACTTTATCAAGGGGGTGCTGGCAAAACTCTTCCTATAGTCACAGTTGGACTTTTAAGGGAATTCTCAGCAAGTTCACAAAAGTTTGTGTTCCCTCTCTGCCATATAAACAGTCATGGAACTGGAAAAGCCACAGCAAGTTCTTAGTAGCACAGTCACTGGCTATTTCATCATAAATAACAATCATAATAGTCATCATAAGGAGCCACCATTTTTACTGCCTACTAAAAAGTTAATATAGAAAGATCCCTATATTGTCTTTAATTTTTCTAAATCCATTTAAATGCATTTCTAAATCCATAAAGAAAACACAAATTTATACAAAAATAATATTATAGAAAATTACTAGAAAAAAAAAGCAAACAAAAAGGAATATATATGCAGAACTCTGAAATGTAAGGTTTAAATTTATTTCAAAAACTAAGCAGTTTTTATTAAACTAGTTTAACTCATCTTCTTCCAAGTTTCCATCACTGTCGAGACTGAAATGCAGTTGTTTCTGGACAAAAACACACCTGAAGTCTAGTTTGCTAGCATTTAAATTTCATAAAATACTATGTTTTCTTGAATTTGCTGAGCTTTGACTTATGAGAAGGCTATGCACAGAGAAAATATTGATGAAACTGAGAAGCGGAGCTATATTTCTAAGTTGGGCAAATTATTGTGCAGAAAGTACCATATCAGAGTTATTTGCCCACCAGAGTGATGAGGAATACCCTGGAGAATTACTGGAGTTATAATTTCCAAAGATGCTGCAGCTGGACAAAAGAAAAAGGCTCCTGTATGAATCCCATTAAAAAAAAATAAAGAAAAGAAAAAAAACAGAAACAAATGGTAATGACAGGTATTCTCTGATCATTAACACAGGCCAGTTGGAACATTTATTGGTATCCATTGCTCATGATCAGCCTCAGAAGAACCAAGTGCATCATGTTCACATTTCAGAAACAGGCCCTTAAAGAGACACACCAGACTGGCTGATACATAAAGGTTCTTTAAGAAGAGAGAGCAGATTCCCTTAAATAAATGTTTAGGGAGCTCGAGAAAGACTTCAGCTCCGCCAGTACTCATGTAGAGCACAACTTAAGCTGTCATTTCACATAGGCTTCAAACTGCGGTGCTGCATGGGGCAGCCCAGGCCTCACGTTTCTCTCATCTCGCCCGCCCTCCTGCATGTGCTGGCACGAGCACCGATGCGACTCTGCTGCAACTCAGCTTGGGGAACTGCTCCAAGGCAGTTCAGACCCAGAGGAGTTTCCTGCTTCACTGTACAACGCACTATGTCAGGCGGAGGGATGGAGAGGAGTCATCAAGCTGCTCTTTAAGCAGCTGGGCTGATTTTTAGCATATGTGGAAATGCAGCCTTAGCATTCATGGCAAATCTTCAGTAGGGTAAGTACTAAGGTAAAGCAAAGACACAAACACAATTAAACAAACAAACAAGCGTCCAACATAGAGACAGATTTACTTACAAACATGTATATCTTAGCATTAAACTACTTTACTTTTTATTGGAACATTAAATACTGTGCAACATGTGTGCAGTGTTCTACCTCCTTATCCCTCTTTTTTCTTCTGCCAATACATCATACTATTTTAGAAATACTTTAATGTGAAAATAAAGGCAAACTATTACAAAACATAGTAATGTACTTACACGTTACGACACGCGATAGGCTTGTAAAATCCAACTTCATTTCCAGTAAAGACTTTTTCTATGCCAAGGTGATCTTTGCAACTAATATTTGGTGCTGGTAAACACTGAACTGAGGACAGAAAAAAATATTTAAATTTAGATCTGGGATTGTGGCGTTTTTCTGACAAGCCATGTGATGTAAGTGAACTAAACAAATAAAGTAACACTGTATAACAGTCACACTACACATCATATGTAAGGGCTTGTCACTGGTGACAGAATTGTTCATAGACACCCCTATGAATAACTGTATTTTTGCATGATAGATACTAAGCAAAATACACAAAGCTAATTGCTCCCCTAATTTTGTTGCAATTTCCACCTTTTGTTCCATTGTGAGTCAACGAGAGCTCTGAACTGGACATACGGAAAACATTTTCATCTTGAGAACAGTCAAACGCTGGAACAAGCTGAAAAGAGAGATGGTGCAATCTCCATCCTTGGAGGTTTTCAGGATCTTACTGGACGAGGTCTGGTTCAGCTTCACGTGAATTCAGCGCTGGCTCCACTCTGAGCAGGAGCTTGGGTGATGGGACTCCCTGGGGTCTCTTCCAGCCTAATTATTCCATGATTCTAATCTAAAGCTTGACTCATAAATGAACCAATGTGGAAATCAAAGAAGAAAGTGACATCTGCTAAAGGTTTGCGATATATTATCAGAATATTAATCACTCTCCAATGTTGAAGTTGTATCAAAGGGCCAAAATGCAGTCCTTACCCTACTTTCTATTACTAGCTTTCAGTACTTGCGAGTTCTTTCTAACTTCCAGCCAGATTCAATATTTCTTTCCTGATTTTCCAATAGTACTTACAGGCAAGAAGACTACAAACGGATTTGGTTGGGTTTCTTTTTAAATATCTGTCCATATTGCGTATGGATCAAAATACCTAATTTCAGCTGGTCAGTATCAGTAACACCTGAAAATATGAGCTAAGTCTGGACTATGTGGATGTTACTGATTAATGTGCTTAATCTAAGACAGTTATGTCTTACTTTGAAGAGCTATATTTTTGTTTGTTTTTGTTTTGTAAATGAGCTAAGATAATAGTGCATTCTTTTATTCAGAAGAAACACACAGCGATTAAAATGTATTAAGATGGTAAAGGCCACATTTTTTTCCTGTCAATGTCATGCCAGGAGGCCACCAAGCCAGCTACTAAATGAAACTACTCAGATGCTTAGAATTAAACCAGAATTTTGGGGGGTGACGGGATCTAGAAATATGTTTGGAGACTGTTGTGCTTCAATTTTGATCTAGAAGATTAACTTTTTATTACTTACATAGTACTAAAAAGTAAAATTCAGATACCGTGGGGACCAAGTAAAGACTGTTATGTGCATAAAAAAATCTACATTGACATAGAAAATAGCACATTAGATAATTTAGTAACTTTCCTTACTCTGAAGCTTAAATCCTGTTCAAAAGTATATTGCATTAAATGTACGTATCCACTAAGTAGTCAGACATAACTAACAATCTGATTTGTGATCCATCTCCAGCTACAGAATACTCTGACTGACTGCTTATAATCAGGGATAAAGAATCCCAGAAAGCAGGAAAGATTGTGAAAAGACAGAAAAGACCATTTATTTCACAGATTGAGAACATAAGACAGGCTAAACACAGGTAGTAACCTAGTGACCAATTTAAGTATTCATCTGTCATACTCAAATGAACATCCAAATTTAAAATAAAAACGTATGCAAGTGTATTTGCAAAACAGTCTAATGACATCAAAACCTCCTGATAATGAAATACACCATTTTTCCTTAGAAGAAATGAAAAAAGGGGAAGGTTTTGAGGCTCTTACGCCTTATGCTAATTCTTCTTCTAACAACATACGCAAAACTGGTATGATAGGAATAGGCTGTTTTAATCAAGGTACTGAAGGACAGAACCTAGAAAATGTAACATGAAGAGATTTACCGAAAACTTCACTTACAAATATACTAGCAATAGATAACGCATTTGTTCATTACTGATTCTGTGTTTTAAGAAGATCATCTAGCAGCTATACGAACGCATGATCCGAACACATTCTTGGAAAAACACAGTCACCGTCAATATATGTCAGAAGTTGAAAATCCTTACCATATGCTGTGTGATTTGTACAATTCATCGGTTCTTGCGTGCTATTGTCTATTTTAGGCTCATCGCAAATATATGTTCAGTTAATTGAGGAAAAACATTTTTCATATCAAATAGCACCACAAGTTGAGTATTAATTTATTCCACCCTCTCTAACCCCTGAGGATTTAAGATGTACCTTGATGCTAGTACTCCATCCTACCCGCCCTCCAAAACACGAACAGCACATTACTTTACAACAATTCCCTCAATTCAATTTAATACATAAATATATTGCACACGCTTCACATTTAATTAGTGCTGCAGTCAGCACTATCTGAAGGAATGACAATATTTATTGGTCCTGGCTTCTGCAGGCAAGCAAGGTAGCACAGCTCACCTAGTCCTCTTTACTACCCAGGGACATTTAAACAAAGGTTTATTCAGTGGAGAGAATTAAATCCACCATAACCCCCAAAACTCAAAAGCGACCACCGGAAAGCTAGCGCTGGAGTCGCTGGGAATTGCGACGTGGATAAACGTGGGCAGCAGCTCCCTCACAGAGGTCTCACCTCCCGCAGGGAGGCACAGTGGGGATGAGGTCAAGTTTTCTGGGATTTGCTCTCCCAACACTTTTGATCCGCAGCCATGCGGATACTGCCGGGATGAGGCCTGAGCTGCCTTGGGAGAGCCAGAAACTTTCCAGCGAACGCCTCAGACCTGCTAACTTAGACTCCAGAAGGAGGCAGGATTTTTGCAAAGTCATGGCGCCTCACTATATTATCCTGAAAAACAGAGAGGGGCTGAGGGGGCTCACATCCCGTAGAGTTCTATCGATGGAAACCCGAGAAACACCCCAAACCTGCACCCCAAGCCAACCTTCCCCAGAATGAAGCCCCAGCCCAGGCTCCTCGGGAGGAAGCGGGTCCTGGGGCTCCCT